CTAAATGACTTTTTGGTTTAGTCGCTGGGGCATATGATGACTACAGACAGTAGAGTACAGAGGGGAACAACAAATTCCAAAACACATTTCAGTGGCAAAACGCAACCCCTGTCTGTCAATAAATTTCTTTATTAGTTTTCATTACAATAATCCAACAATAGCCTCATTATAACAATGGCAAATTACAATTACTAATACCAATCATTTAGATGCCAAATTATATCCTTTATGTGGCCCCCCACATGCTAGAATTTATGGTTTGATGATTTACTTTATTTCTGCGTTTCAAAATCTTATTAATTTCAATTACACTCCAGTCAAAATAACAATCCCTTGTACAACAATTGCAATATTTATGACTTCCATTCGTATCGACACATTAAATGATTTATAAATCTACAGGTGAAGCATTCAAGCTATAGCCTTGTTCTTCCTGTGTGTGGCAATAATTCTGTCCGTGTTGTTTCTTCTTGTCCTTGTACAATATTATGGCTATCTTTTCCCACTTGTTGCTGTTCTCCATCATGCCTTGGGTGGAGCTAATAGCCCCTGTGAGTCAAGAGATAGTAAGAGCAACAGGGGGGAAAGGGTTTGGAAGTGGGCTAATATTAGGTAGCACTTGCTCTGGAAAAAGGGATCTGTCATGCAGCTCTAGGGTGAAAAATCCAGATTTCTATTTGCTTGTTCAGTAACTGCACTTCCACCTATGGACACCTGCACTGTCATTACTTCTCATGATGCTTTGCTAGCTGGATGGTATGTTATGAAGGCATCCATGAAAACCTGGCTACCTTGCCCCATCATGCTGCCTGTATCCTGAGGGTGAAGTTTTGGACCTTGAGGAACTGGCAAGAATATAAGAACACAGGAAGCTGACTCAAACGGAGTTAGTTCATTGGTCTATTTAGCTCAGTACTGTCCTCACTGCTTGACATTGGCTCTCCAGAGTTTCAGACAAGGTACATTCCCAGTCCTACCTGGAGATGCCAGGGACAGGAACTGGAACTTTTTGCATGCAGAGCAGATGCTCTAACCACTAATGTGTTACACACAGGATAGTTACTGAGGACCACTAATCTTGTCAGAGATTTGCTGAATAATAAAAGAGAGATCTGTTGCCTTCCTTCATTACGAAGCTAGTTCATGGCCTCTTATGGAAATAGGGGGTAGTCTGAGAAGGAAATAGCTTGCAGTCCAGAGCAAAAGTACATCTTCCTTAGTAGTTTCCTTGCTTGCCAGTCTAGGTTGTTTCCTCGCTTGCCTTGTTCGCTGGAACTGCCAACCCTTCACTTACATTTCACCTAGAATCCACACAATGTCTATTTGCAGATGCCTACTTCTGGAACATTTGCCCTCACTTGTTTGTACAAAATTCGCATAGAGATTGCATGTTATTGCAATCAAGGGTCTGTCACCCCACACTTTCTGGTGCACTTCTCCATAATTTCTCATGCTACAGAAAGCTGAGTTTTTAAAAAGTGTATTTTTGTGCAAGAGAGTTGTAGTGCTGCTGCTGCTATTTATTGCAATTTATCCACTTTCTTTGAAGGGGGAGAGGAGGTTATGGAGGTGCACTTTATTGCATCAGGTACATAAACAAGCATGTACCTGAATGGGGGAGAGATCTACGCAAAAAAGCTGAAATCTGGAAGTGACCAATGTCATGTCAAACTGCTTGATGCCAGTGTTTTCTGTGCTCTGTGTTTTGCTAGGACCCCCATCCTGCTTTGTAATATAACAGAATTGTAGCAAATGTCCGTCCGGTGTTAACTGGTAACACACTATTTAGGCCTTTAAGAGAAGTTAGTTCTTCTTTGCAGGTTCAGTCCATTTCATTGCTTTTCTCACTCTGGTCAGTTTCTGAAATAAATCGATTCATTCATTGCTTTCCTGGTCTGCACAGGTAGGAAATCGGTGCTGAATTGCTCCTAAATGGTTCCTGATTTAGTCAGGTTCGGGCCCTCATGGGGTGGTATTAAATTACTTGTTGCTGTCTATTATTCCTGCCCCCCCCTTTCCCTTCTATTATAGTGAAATAGTGCAATTTGGTACTAATCTCCCAGCCTCTCTGACTGGGGAAGCAATAAAACTGGCTAAACTTGCAAACTGGAAGATTTCAATTAGCTTTTGGAAGAACCTTTGCTAAATGAAACTTACTTGGTAGTAGACATTGTAGAAAGATCTTGGCCATGGGGAAGGGCATTGCTAGTTAATATAGCATTACATTAAGAGTGATCAGGGGGCCACTGTTTTAATTCTACTTCCAGATAATTGAGGAAAAACAATGCCTCAGTAGCACTAAAAGCTCTAATATACATCCTCTGGGACCTCTCCTTTCCCCACTCTGAAGTCAAATGAATTGGCGAAAGGACTCTTTTTTTAATTGCCACCTGAGCTTGCTGATACCCCTTGTGAAAGGGGAACACACCCTTAGAGCAGTGCAAAGTGAAATCCTTTTGGTTCACCTTCAGGCAAGTTGTTGAGCAGGTTGGTTTCCAGGGTGGCTGGACCCTGTTGCTCCCCAGAGAGTTGACAAAGGCTGTTCCCAATGCTCTCTTTCAGAGGACCTTTTTTCTAAGCATATTCCATTATTTATTCAGTCCCCCCACACTTTTCACTGCAATTTCCCCATTACTTTCTTAATTGCAGGAAGGCTTTTGCTCTTTAAAACTGAATTTGTTGCACCAGGGTTCTAAATGTGTAAACCTAAATTTTCTGGCACATACTTGAATCATTTCCATGAAAAACTGACTGTCTAGAGTGAGGCAGCCTATACTGGCCAAATGCAGCTTGTATACCACTGACTGGCCATCTTTGCTTTCCTATTCCTTTTTCTGCACCGTCTTCTCATTTTGTTTTCCCTCTTCCAGTTTTGTTTGTTTGTGAGTCAAAGGATTTATTCCTTAGTTCACATCTAACATTGTAATGCTACTTAGGAATGAAGAATATCACTTGTGTGTTCTACAGAACACCTAGCATGCTACTGGTTTGGTAACTACTAAGCAGTTATTGCAGAGGTACCCTGGAAAATTCTTCCTTGCTGCACGAAGGAAAATTTGCAGCTTTGGGAACATACAGATGTAAGAAGAGCCTACTGGGTCAGGCTGATGGCCCATCTAGTGCAACATCCTGTTCTCACAGTGGCCAGCCAGATGGTTGTGGGAAACGTTTCTCCTCCTGCAATTTCCAGAACTGGTATTCAAAAGCTTACTGCCTCCAGCCATGGAGGAAAGCAGAGTCCTCATGGAGAGTAGCCATTGATAGGCTTATTCTCCATGAATTTGTCTCATCCTCTTTCAAAGTTGGTGGCTATCATTGCCTTCTGTGGGAGTTCCATAGTTCAACTATACCCTCTCAAAGTGCTTTCTCTTATCTGTCCTGAATCTTCCAACATTCCACATGTTCTAGTGCTGAGAGGAGGAAGGAGAGGAAAGCTTTTCTCATCCACTTTCTTCATGCCTTGCATAATTTTATAAATTTCTACCATGTCGCCCCTTACTCAACTTTCATCTTAACTAAAAAGTCCCAAATGCTGCCACCTTTCCTCCATTCCCTGGATCATTTGGGTTGCATTTTTCTGAACCTTGCCCAACTCTTCCATAGCCTTTTTGAGGTGAAGCTTTCTAGAGTTAATCAGCACTTAAGCATATTACTATTAACATTCCAAGTTCTTTATATTCTTCCTATTTTACAAGGAGGAGTTAGCTCTGAAGCTGTAGAACAACAACAACACCTTCCTGCCCAATCAGGAGTGGCTGGCCAGCATTCAGTTTCTTATTTTCTTCTGGACCACCACCAGCATCCAATATCTGAATGTGCTTCACTGTGTCAGGCTGCAAGCACCAACAAATGCCACCCTACTTGGGCAACTGCTCTTATCAAGCTTATCAGCAAGTTGGCATCAGGCTCCCATCTCCCCACCTTCCCTTTTCATCTAAACTGCAAAGAAAACATCCTATAGTTTGACCCTGTCTAAAACCATGTGACTAGATCACAAATCGCTTCTTCTTCTTCTTCTTCTTCTTCTTCTTCTTCTTCTTCTTCTTCTTCTTCTTCTTCTTCTTCTTCTTCCCCGGAGTGCTGTCTTTGTGGTACCTGGGGCAGGTGACCCTGTTCCCTCAACTTCGCAAAGCTCCTGTTCCGTGTCATTATTTCAGAACACGTCGTTCCAGTGATTTTTAAGATGCTGACGATGAGAAGGATGGGGAAGATGAAATCCCTGGGTCAACCGTTTCTCGCTGGCGCGGCCCTGCACCCAAACCCCCCACCCCCTTATTGCCTGATCCCCTTCCCAATGCTTCTCTCCTCTCCCCAAGTGCCCGGGTTGCTTAGCAACCGCCACCATCAGCACCATCCATCCTTCCTTCTTGCAATAGAATGCTTAGTAGCACGCTGTGCGTGTCTTTGCTTGGCAAATCGGCCCTCTCTCCTCTTCCAACCGAAGGCGGTCAGCAGAAGCGGGTAAAGGTGCTCGCTTTGGGAATCGCGGTTGCAACTCTCTCGCGGCTCCCAGATGCAGCCTCGCGCACGTGCAACCAAAGGGGTTTAGGGGGAGAAAGAAAGAAAGCTCGCTTGGCACCACGCATGTGTTGATCTCCGCTGCAGCAGCGGCGGAGGCAGCAGCAGTATCCGCACCAGCCCCGTATGCGTCGTTTCCACTTTGACCTCCGACTTAATCTGCATCGAGGCAGAAGCTTTTCTTGCGCTCTCGCGCCCCCTCCCATTGCGCGCAATCCTTCCTCTGCCCGCCCCCTGCGCGCATCTCCCCAGCCCCCTCTCTGTGATGGATTGTGTGGGATTCTTCTCCTTCCTCCCCCTTTGCCTGTTCCAGTAGTGTGTGTACGTGTGATCCTCGCCTCCTCCCCCCCCTCACCTCGACCCCTTTCTCCCAATTCTCTATATTTGGAAGCTGCTGCTGTTGCGCTAGCCGTAGCAGATGCTTGGATCCGCCAAGGGGTTCGCGGGGATCTGATTTTTATATCTCTCTCCCCCCCCCACCCTCCCCCGATAGCAAATCACCGAATATTAATTCAGCAGCTGGGAAAGAGCGAGAGCGAGCGAGCGCAATGTATCATCCTACTGGCGGGACCTGGTAACAGGAGGGAGGGGGGCCTCGCCATCACCCCCACCCCTACAGATCACTAAATAAAGAAGGGGACGGATCCGTCGGCAACCGAGAGGAAAAAGGGGGCGGGAAAGTGTGTGGGGTTGAGGGGGGGGAGAGGGAGAGAGAGAGAGAGAGAGAGAAGGGGAGAGAGAGAAAGAGGGAGAGGATGAGTCCTCGAAATCCGCCCAGCCAAGGCAGCCTTTCAGTGCTGGATGCAGCGTCTCCTCTCAAAATGATGGTGCGGGCGCTGCTCCTCTTTTCGCTCATCCAGGGGTAAGCTGTGCTTTCTGTTTGCTACCGCGGGCTGGGGGTAGGCTGTTGGGGTGGGGGGTGGGGGTGATGGAGGGGGAGGGGGGAAGAAGATGCCGATTATAAATGCACAGGGCTGCAGAGGAACCCTGCGTTTTCCCTTGTCCCCCCCCCCCCCAGATCTATTCCCAACCATCACGATGAACATATTCTTTTCGGCTTTGCTGCGCTGGGAATTCAGGGCCCTCAGCGTGGATTTAAGCGGGCGCGGGGGGGGGGGTTCGGTGAGATCTGGGGTGGGGAGAGAGGCGTCATTCCCATGAAGGTTCCCCCTCCCTCCCTGCAGTTTATCGGCTGCTTCCGCGCAAGGAATGGCACGGGAGAGCCTAATGGGGAGGACAGCACGGGCAGCTTCTCGAATGGGCAGCCATAGCGGCGGGGCTGGGTGGTTCGGGTTTTTGGCATTATTCTGGGTAGTGCTCTGCGCTAGCGTGGTTCCCCATCCCCCTGCTGGGCCGAAGGGCGGCTCACAGACCCCCACACTCGCCAAAAAATGCTGTCCCTGCCTGGCAAGGCTCCCCGTTCCCCGGAGCCGGGAGTGATGGCATGCAGAAGCCAGCATCTCCCTCTCGCCCGATGACAGTTTATCGCTCTCTTCGGCAAATATTTACACTGACGTTGCAATGGGTGTATCGCTTTCGCAGGGGCGCCGTCAGCTGCACTATACATGCGAGCTGTGTGATTACATATGCATATGTGTGTTTTCTGTGCACTGAACGTCATGGTACGTAAGAAAATAGGTTGTAGAGAAAGGATGCTGTGGGGGCATGGAATAGGAAACGATGGTTCCTGTGGTGCATAAGCACTGGGCTGCTGAACGAGGCGTTTTGAGATTTTGTGTACCGTGCGTTTTATAGCAGGTTTGCATCCCAAAGTAGCAAAGCATTGCCAACTGCTCAGCCATTCATGCCCCCGACAGCTTTCCGTGGTAGTGACACAAGCTCGATTTCCGTGGGTGCATGAAGGCAAAGAGGCGCCTCCTCCCCTTTGTTATAATATTTGGCAACAGGAGAGCAGAGGCAATGCTTTACGTTCTTCTCTGGCTGGCTTCCCTTCCCCTTTACCTGCCATATTGAAGAACAGAACCAGCGTGATGCTTGGAGAAATGGCCAAGCTCACAACCTGCTGCTCCAGAATTTTTTTTTCATTTCAACTTCTAGATAGGGGAAGGTGGGGAGTGCAGTCTTAAAAATAACATGCTTAACAAGTCTTGTTTTACTTTGCTCATTTGCATCCTCTTAAAACATGGGAAAACCTGAAATAGAAATGGGAACATTAGTAATAAATTCAACAATGGGACAGATTTGGTGGAGGGGAACTTATGTTTTTGTAAAAACAAGAAGTGTTTATAATCTTGTGTTTGGTTTCCTAAAGTATTATATTTCAAGCAGGGATATTCAGGTATCAGGGCCTTAAACCAACATTGTGGTCCATAGGAGCCAACTCCTAGGGGTCATGAAAGCTTTGCCCACCACAATAAAATATTAGAGGGGGCGAGGTCCCCACACAGTTGATGGGTATTCCCAGTCAAATTACGTGTGTGATCATCATGTGATCAATTATGTGGGGCAGGGCTTACCTGGGCCCCCACAATATTTTATTCAAGTTGGCACCCTTGCTGTGGTCTATCTTTTGGTTTGGAGGCCTGTGTTTGTTTCCTTTAGGGCAGGGGTCAGCAACCTTTTTCAGCAGGGGGCTGGTCCACCGTCCCTCAGACCATATGTTGGGCCGGACTATATTTTGGGGTAAAAAATGAACGAATTCCTATGCCCCACCAATAACCCAGAGATGCATTTTAAATAAAAGCACACATTCTACTCATGTAAAAACACCAGGCAGGCCCTACAAATAACCCAGAGATTCATTTTAAATAAAAGGACACATTCTACTCATTGTGGGCCAGATTGAGAAGGTGATTGGGCCACATCCAGCCCCTGGGCCTTAGGTTGCCTAACCGTGCTTTAGGGTGCCTAGTGCTATTTCCCCCTCCTTCCTCTCTTTTTCTCTCCCCTTTTCTATGTTTGAAAATGCAGGAGGGTGAGCTCAAGAGTTCCATCTTGCCTGTTACTGAAACATATTAATGAAATGAAGGTGTGATGGCTGTTTCTGCAGACATTTCAAACTTATTCCATCTGTCCTCCTGACAGAGGTAGTCAATGTAATGGCCAGATGTTTGTAAGCTACAATTCCTGCCAACCTTACCATTGCCCATGCTGGCCAGGTATCATGGGAGGTCAACCACATCGGGAAGGAACCCTGTTTTTGACCCATACAAATCTGAAATCCGCCATATCTGAGAACTAGGCCTCACACTGAGGCCACCATCAATTTCACTCATGGGGGAAATGAAACTGTACAAATCTTAAGGGTTGCCAGCATTCCTTCCCCATGGGGTTTTGAAATATGCTTTAGCAAAACAAAACAGCACAAATGTGTATGAAAATTGTTCTCCCTGGTCCTGTCACCTTGGCAAATGAGGTAGCCATTTGCAATTTCCCTTTGAAACTTCACGGCATGTCTGCACAGTGTTAGGTACATTTTTTTTTTAAAAAAAAAGGTGTTAAAACACAAACATAATGAGCAGAAAACTGTAGTTTTGTCATATTACCATTCTAGATTTGCTTTTCATTGTTAAAGGTCTAAAATACATGAATGTAGGTGCCAGGCGAGCCTTTTTGGGGAGGGAGTTGTCCCCTGCACTTGAGAAGGGTTCCTCTCCTCCCCAGTCTCCATCTGTCCCACCTCACCCAGTCAAGGCACCTACATAATGGCCCTCAGATGATTATCTCAGTAAACTGGAAGGTTGATATGAGAATAGGCATAACTTCAGGTATCCAAGTTTCAAATTTTAGAGGGCAACACACCAACACTCAGAAATGGATTGGGAGCCTGGCCACTCTTTAAGCTATTGCCACGAAGGAAGCTACTGTTAAGGAAGGAAGCAATGGTTAGCCAACACAGATTTTTATTATTTTAAATTGGTGGTTGTGATGGGGAAAGTCATGGGAAACAGTTGCAACAGTCATAATTCAAAGCATGGATTCAGTCTGTGTTTACCTTGTCCTCAATTCCAGGGATAGCACTCAGGATTCTATTGGATGTTTGTGTGTAGAGGTCAGAAGCAGTCTTCCAATAAACCTTGTGAAGTAAAGGGACCATGAGAAAAGAAGTGTTAGTAATTTGCTCTTTCTACCTTTGTTTTGAGGTCAGGATGTTTATGCAAACTGCCCATCCAAAGTTTCCCCTGTGTACTTTAAGAGTGCAGAATATGAGGCTTAGGTCATGCACCCTCTCGTCTGAGTGATGGGCTCCCTACCAGGGGTTGACTATTGCTGTGGGGGTGCTGTGATTGAGTGCAGTTAGCCAGGAAGGATCATAGCCTTTGTTGGTATCAGGGTGTGGGAAACTGGTTTTGGGGGGCTATGTTTTTCGACTCTCCACTGAGTTCAATGGAAGGTTTTTCATTCATATTATACTGTGCATTTGTCTACATAATTTTAGACTTGCACAGGGCCTGGGAACAGATTCTGGCCTTTAGCATTCAAGCTAAGCCTGCTCCTCCCTCGACATGTCCCTGTGCACTCCATCTTCAGCCCCTCCAGTGATGGGGATACTTCAACATAACATTACAGCAGAATACCCTTGACTTTGCCATGGTGTCAGATCCCCAGGTGGTGGCATATTGCTACAATCCACTAGTGTAGGGAACTTGCACCAAATCCTAAAGATATCCAGCCAGCGCCCCTTGAATTGCAGCTTTAGTACTCAAAAGTTCTATATAACTTTTGTGAAAGTAATGCAATTTTTTTTAGTTCTATGGGGACATGGTGTGTGTGTGTGTGTGTGTGTGTGTGTGTGTGATTTTTGAGGCAGTGTTATAATTGCCTTTCCTTAAGTTAGTGTTTCAGTTGCAGAGCTTACCTCTTAAACTCAAAATGGTAATGTTTTGTGCCTAGGAAAATTTGATTTCTGCCCACCTTGTTGAAAACCTCTATTGTAATGGACTGGATTAGTGCCATGGGCACCACTAAAACTGCATGTGACATTGGTAACTATAAGCGACATGACTCTTCCATTGATGTCAGTACTGCTTCAAGTACCTTTTAAATGTTTAATTTCTAAATTTCTTTTTGAAAGCCGAGCCACTCACCTACTGTGCCACTCATCTGAAGGAGCATTCATCCAACTGTTTAGACAATGCAAAAGGTGGCATACACTGGCAAAGCTATTCCTCCCCTGAAGCCATGGTCCTTCTGCTCCATGACCACCTCCGGATCCCTCTCACATGTGTAGAGGAGTCATTGTCTCACTTCACACCGTGTGCTGTAGGCACTGGGAAGCAGGGGCATTTGTTTCTTTGCTTCAAAGTGTCTCCAAATCTTGGCAAGAAGGTTGAGCCCCTTCTCAACCCAAAGTTCTCTACTAGTACCAGAAAGGATGGGAGAGCCACTGTGTTGCTGCCATCATGATGCTTGGTGCTTTTCCTCACCCCCAATTTCTCTGAGATGCACAAAGAAGGTTTGCACTGGGCTAACAGGGGCAGATAGTTGGCAAAAAGGGATTGTGGTCACTGCTGTCCACCTGGCAACCACAGGTGTGGGTCCTTTGTCTTACTCATACCACACGAGTGTGAATTATATGAGAATCACATGGGACTGACATATGATGTGATTACTTCCTATGCCAGAGTCACCAGCCTGCCCTTTTCACCTGTTCCATGTGATTTATGTGTATGTGTGTGATGCTGCAGCATGGGTACAATCTTCTTGCAAGTGGTTTGCATGCCACAATGGCAATCTATTAATTAGATCTAAATGTGTGGAGGATAGCTACCAAAATTTGCTCCTAATGCACAGGTTGTAGAACAGAATGTAAGACTGTGATCCTATACTCTGCGCAACTGCCTTTCTTACATTGGTTAAATTTCTTTGGCAGTTCTGTAAGTTGAACTAAACTCTACACAA